CTAGTGGGCTAGTGAAAGGGGATGAGGTTGTGAAACTGGTTTTGGAAAAACAACTTCTGCTAGAATTCTCCAGCCTAATTAGGTAGCATGGTGTCATCATGTAAGGCTTTGCTGTTGGGTCTAGCTGTGAGGTAATCCCTGGAATGTGCACACATATGGTGTAAAGAAACTCACTGCCAGTTACACCTAGCTTGTTTTTATTTTCCATTTAAATAGTGCAAATGTTTCAGTGGTTTCAAGTTTGTTGTTCTACACACTTTAAGAGCTTCCTGTTGCAGCTCCTCACAGAGGATATTGAAGAGCTGCCTTCACTACATTTCTTTGCTTCTTTCTGTAGAACTCATATTGTTATTTTTGGTCTCCGTGGTCTCTGTAAGAATATTTGTAGTTTGTGAAAATACTTGTATATGTTCCTTCCTGCAGTATTTATATCAAGAGTTGACTTTCTGGCAGAGAATTTCTCACCTTTGGAAACCCAAGGCCTTTGATTATTTTTGTCTCTGGTGGCATCTTTTTAAAAAAAGAACATATGAAAAAGCAAAATTAAAAATTAAAAAAAATGTTTGCTTGTTTGGCAAATGCCACAAGAAATTGTCCAGCAAAAACTAAGTTTTAAACTTGAAATGTTTTTATGAGTTTTGGCATTATATTCAATAAAAACATTTCAGGTTTAAAACTTAGATTTTGCTGGACAATTTCTTCTGGCATTATATATATAGCAGCTAGGTTACTCTGAGCCCAAAAATGGAAGAATGGAGAAATACCAACATCAGAGGAGCTCTTAAAGAAGCTACTGGATATTGCAGAACTAGATATACTTTCAGAGGCAATGCAGGATCAACTGAGACATTTTGTAAAGGAAAGCTGGAACCTAATATACAATTGGGTCGAGAAAGAGACAAGAACATTGGGGAAGAAATTATGGCAAATCAGTACTTACAAAACCCCGTTGATGATATTAGATGACCTAGATGATGGTGAAATCTCTATCTATGTATGTACAGTGGTGCCCCGCATAGCGAGGTTAACCCTCGCTATGCGGAATCGTCGCTAAACGGGTAGGGAAAAGGTATTGAAACGCATTAAACTTAGTTTAATGCGTTCCAATACCTTGCTTACTTACCCGTTCAGCGAGGATTCCCCTTGCCGGCAGCTATTTTCGCGCCCTCGCTAAGCGAGGGCAGGGCATGAAAACGGCTGCTGGCAGCCATTTCCAGGCTTCCGGCGGCCATTTTGGAGCCGCCGAACAGCTGTTCGACATCTCCAAAATGGCCGCCGCAATACCCGATCTTCGCAATGCGGGTTTTCCCCATTGCGAAGATCGGGTATGTTTCCGTATAGCGATCCCAAAAAAGGGATCGCTATGCGGAAACATCGCTATACGGTGCACTCGCTAAGCGAGGCACCACTGTATATGAATGTCTTGCTTTAGTTCTCTTTTGTTATTTTTATTGTGTCTTACTCTGTTGTTTTGTATGTTTATTTGTATGTATGAATAATAATAATAAAATAGATTAAAAGAAAAACAGCAATCCAAACCTGGTATGCTTATGGGCAAAAAGCTGAACCATGTTCAATTAATGAGTGCAAATGTAAGTTAAATATATGAAAAGGTAATGAATGGAAAAGCAATGGGCTAATATGTTCAATAATGTTGCTGTAATGAAATACAGTTCTTTTACCTCCAATATACTAAACATGGAGCATATCCTTAAAGAAGTGTTGGAAATAATCCCGCTTAAAACTCTGTATGATCAGTATTCCTTGTGTCCATCAGTAGTGGTGTAAGGAGGGCTTAATGAACAAGAAAAGAAGCTTTCCCAAAGCCTGATTTGAGTACTGTAAATACACGGATCATCATTTTTTTTTGTTTATTATGTACATAATAATTATGTACATACCCCACCTTTCCTCCACTGAATGTAAGGCAGCATGCATGTCTTTTCTCCCCATTTCCATTATGTCCTCACAATAACTCTGTGAGGTAAATCAGTCTCAGAGCCTCTGACTGGACTACAGTAGATGAAGCGTGTATTTCGATCCAGGCTTCCTGGATTAATCAGAACACCACACTAGCTGGGATCTCTAATCACATAGGTATACATTTTTTGCATTCAAACCCAGTTTTGTCTGCTTCAAAGACCATAGACCTACTTACTGCTCTGAGTATGGCTGAGAAGCGGCTGCTATCTGATGCCACAGTTGTGCTAAATTTAACACAGCTGTCATTCTTTACAAATAAATAAAGGTAGCTGGCTGTACCCAAGCACAGCTGCAAAGGTAGCAACTGAGGAGCCGGGTTAATTTTCCCCTGCCTGTGTTATAGTAAAACCAAGTCACTGTGATTCTTTTTTCCCCTTGTTCCAGAATGACCTGGTGCCCTCTAAAAGCTTGGGCAGCTTTGGGTTAAATTAGTAAGAATAACAAAGTGAGTTACGAAAATGTCAGCTTCATTATTGAGAGAGCTGGTAATCCGGTTAGGCTTGCTGCTTGCGGTTTGGGGGTCCTTGCATTGCCACAGATTTACAGCCCATTCCTAGGGCTTAAGCTACAAGAGCAGACTTCCTGAAACAGCGCCTTCCAAGGATTGCTCATCTTTTCCCTGCCTTTCAGAATTTGCTTGAGGCTAACTGCTGGTAGCCTTGCAGCTCTTGTGCATTCCTCAGGCATGCGAAAACAATGCTGGTCCTATTCTGTCTCTTCCAAACCCATGCAAACATTCCTGGACACCACCAGCTCTGATGTGTAAGGGCAGGTTACTGTTCTCTCACATACCCCTACAGAGCAAACCCATGCATGCAGAGCAATCCTTAACCTGATCAAAAGTAGAACCGGAAACTGAACACATTAAGATGCCTTTTCATCATTTCTGTTTACAAGTTGCAAATATCAGTAACCGTTTACAAGTCTTAGGTTTGTAAAAACACTAGATTCCCCTCATTTTATGAATGTGCCATTGACTGAGTTTATAAGAACAGTTCACTGGAACCTGTATAGAGTGTTTCAGAAACAGAGGCTAATTAAGACGTACCCCACCCAAAGTTGCTGCTGTACAGCTTGATAGTTCATTTTAATATTTTTTTATTTTTATTCATTTAAAAAAAACAGTTAAAACATCCAATAAACAAATATCTAAATGGACAGTGCTTCCCACCACCACCTGGACTACTTGTGAGTAACAGCCTTTACCATTTACCATCGTGGAGTCCCGTCTTCCTTCTATAATTGTATTGACTTTTTCATGGGCGTTGCCCCTTCCTCTTTGTTAATACAAAATCAATAAATTCTCCCCCATATATCTATACATTTATCTTTGCCTGTTTCTCCCTTTCCTAACTTTTATATTACATGTAAGCTTAGCATTGATAGCTGTATAACAAACTTCCTGTCTAAATTTATGGACATAAATAGTTCTGTGAAATATTGTCTGAAATTCTATTGCTCAGCATAATAAATTGCAACTAAATTAGGCCAATTGAATCAACAACATTTATGAAAGATTTACTCTAGTTGTGACATTACACTGAGCAACAGGATTTCAGCCAAAAAATACATTTACATCGTAATTTCTTTCTTCTAGATCCACATTTTTTTTCATACAGCATTCAGATAATAGTGCTCTTGAAAGTAGCATTCTTGCCCTAGTCTCTGTAAAGTGCTATGTACATAGATGACAATAATACCTCTTAATTCTTTAAGTAAATTTTAATGTACTCCAGGAAATATTTATTCAAGATTTTCTAGTTCCGTTCTGTACACATCTATTCAGAAATAAGTGCATTGAGTTCAATATGATTTCATCCCAGGTAAATAGTTCAATGAGTTGTGTATTTGGCTATAGAGCCTGAGGTCTGGCATTGAATTCCCCACTGTTCTCTTAGGGGAAGAGACAGAGACAGCCTGTGTAACTTTGGGCAAGCTACACAAATCCAGGGCAGTCCCAGAAGGGGAGAGTGAGTTGCTTTAAGTTGAACCTGAAAATGTGTAATTACGTTTATTACAGATATAAAGGATTGTACTCTAATTCTTAATAAATGTGTTTAATGAACCGTCAGTATTACATTTCAGGTTTATTAAGTATAAAGTATTTTTTAAACTATATTGAATGCCATGAAGTGATTAAGAAAATTCTGCATATGTAATCGACCTGGGAGCTGACTGTCCTATTTTTAAAGTGCATGCCTCACCAATGTCATGATTCATTAGAAAGACTATCTTCAAATCCTTGTTTGTCATGAGATCATTCTGGTATTCCACAGGAAGCTGTCAAATATGCTTTATGTGTGTGAAGGCTGGCCAAAGATTAAAGGCAGATGGCCTTTGAGTTGAGTTTTATAGCATGAACTTTCTTCAGAGCACCATAAATTATTTGCTTATTTGCAGGCAAAATTAACACAACTGGTAAACTTTAAGAGATGCATGCACCCAGCTAAGAATGTACTTTTGTGTTAGCACCATTTCAGATGTTGCCACTTGCTTATAGAACCTGACAGAGCTGTTCCCATGTAACAATGGTCAATATAAGACAGAGGCTCCTCAGAGTTTGGACTATGATTGCTATCATTGGTGACTGTTGGTCATGCTTACTGGAATTGCGGAGATTGGAAGTCTAACAACATCTGGAGGAGCTACTTGTTGCCCAATATAAAGGCTATAATTCTTCTAACCATGGGTAAGATCCAATGGTGGATGCACCCAAACATGCTGCACAATATACTGAATAGACTGCAGTTAATGTTGTGGATCTTATGGACACTCATTCCTGTGGTCTCCATATCACTAACCACCAGAGACATTAATCAGATAAAAAACAGCTCCTGGCTAATTATAACAGTATAGTGGACTGGGATAAACCTTTCATATTTTGAGTAGAAGTGCAAGTGAAATTACTATTACTTTGGAATTGATTTCTCAAGAGGAAAAAATAAGTATTCATGGCTAAACACTGTATTTTTTTAACCTTACCATAAATGTGTTCTGTGTTTTATTTTTAAATGAAGGCAAAGCCAAGTCCTCCATTAGCAACTCCTTTTGCACATCAAGATGGAGTGAAAAATAAAGGTTTGCAGCATCCTTCAGCTTTATGCCCTCCAATGGCAAAAACTAATCTGGAGGGTGAAAACAGATATATTATGCACACTGTTGACAAGTCAGGCACCATGGACGAGGCTGTCAGCATTTCACCGGTTCTGACTAATGCCTTGGAGCACATCGTGGAGCAACTTGACATTCTGACTCTTGTGAGTGAATTCCCAACACCATTGCATCGGCTGAAGTGCCATTTTTCTGCTGGCCCTTTTATTCAGCAATCTTTACTTTTTTTTTTTTTTATGAAAATCTAAAAATGACCCAGAAGTTTCAGGAGCAGGGAGTGCAAAAGGAAGATCTGTGTGTGAGAAGGGAAGGTGCCCAAAGACTAGGCTTCTGTCCCATACTGGAAATCACCTGTTTAACATCTACTTACCTATTTGCTTACTTGATTGTTGTAAGGGTTTGCATCCTGTCCTTCAAAAACATTCCTGGGGTAGATTCTGTGCCTCTCAGTTCATTTATGAGCTTGTTTGCCTGAGGCTTCACTCACTTTCTTTGCCTCAAGCTTCATTAGTCATTAATGGATAATAATACTCTCTACAGAGTTGTAACAATTACCAAGATAAGGTTTATGAAGAAGGATTTTAAACAGTCAATTAAAATGTTTTCATACTCTACAACTTTGCAGAAGTCTGTTTGAAATTCTAAAGAATAGTAAGAACTTACATTTTAATGGAAGCCCATGTTCTTTTTTGTTAGACAGAAATGCTGTCATTTTTTAAAATTCTCAGTTACAGTAATATATCAACCTTACTACCAAATGTGTCCTGTCGAGAGATAAGATTGAAAAACTAAACTCATGGGATCATTGATAAATTAATCAGCTGAAGCTGACTGATACACTGTTTTAAACCAAGCAACCTTACAAGTGAAGTGCTTTGACACCCTTTTTAAACAAAATGTGTGCAATGGAATTATTGCTCTTTCTGCCATCTTCATTCCTAAATTAGTATTAGAGCATTGACCCACTTGTAACTGTCCTTCTGAAACATGCCTTACACCAATGGTCCCCAGTCTTGGGTCCCAAGATGTTCTTGGACTATATCTCCCAGAAGCCTTCACCACTAGCTGTGCTGCCCAGGATTTCTGGGAGTTGCAGTCCAAAAACATATGGGGACCTAAGGTTGGGAACCACTGCCTTACACAATGTGGTTGGATCTACACAAAGATTACTTCTTAGTTAACTTTATTACATAACACATGATACAGGTGCTTTATTCTATAATCAAGATTATATTGAAAAGCTATTGTATCACAGAAATGTTGAGTTGTAATACAAAGACGTATTTTAAAAAAATATGTTGATCCAAACCATGGTTTAAGCTACTAGAATTTATTTGCTAGGTTTCAAAGAAGCCTCTATATAAGCAGAAATCAATTTTAAGTGTGGTGGTGGGGTAACCCATTCCCTTCTCTGTTGCAACCACCATGACACATCACATGTTGTTCTTCATAACTATTCAAAGATGGCAGCTGTTCAGAGGGAAGTGGGCTGAAAATACCCTGACGTGTGTGGGACACCACACCTGGTTCTCTGGATCTTCCCTTTCCAAAAGGGAACCCTCAACACTTTCCACAGTGATCTATCATAAATAAAGTAGCTCCCTGGAGTATTTTCTCTTTATAGCAGTAACACCAAACTATGTGAATATGTGTCATAAATCACTGTTACCAAATAGGGATACTGCTAAAGTAAATATTTAGTGCTAGGGTGCCAGCTTTAGATCACTTCTCCAATTCTGTATTTTTGATGCTCAGAATTTTATCTATGACATCAGGGATGGGCAATTGCCAGAGGTTTGGGAGCTGCACACACCCATCTGGACGTCAGAGGTCGTCATCTACTCTGTGTCCCTCAGCTTTCCCCTTTTAATTTATTTTTTTCCTGAAAAAGGCAATGCCATGTTTTGTGTTCCCACCTCCACTCCATCTTTACATTCAGGAGGTACTTCATACAGCTCAGGCAGGGCCAGAAACACAGTAAAGCTGCCCCTGACTTTCTCAGTTCAAAAATTTAAAAAATTGGTAGTGTCAGGAGACATGAGAGTGCCAAGGGGCATCTCTGGGCAACTAGGGACTGTGTTTGGGCCCCTAAGAGATACATGCTGCCCATATTTTGCTAGCCCTTGACTTATACTGATATCAACTGTATGTTGAAAACATGAGGATAAATATTTATTTCTGACACTGTATTTATAAATGAAGTATGTTTTACAGCACAGGCTATTTCCAAAAATAAATTTTGATAGTTTCTGTAAGATACTGATCGTTTACAAATTATGGAATATTTGGACCAAATTGTGAATCTCACTGATGTATTAAAAGGAATTAATTTGCAACTAAAATGATGAATATGCAGCTGTCAATAATAAGCCTTTGTTTTCCTTCCAATAGACTGTCTCAGTCTTGGAGCAGCGCTTGACTTTGACAGAAGATAAGCTGAAAGAGTGCCTAGAGAACCAACAGAAGCTGTTACTTTCTGTTCAACAATAAGAATAATCAATAAATGTGCTGGTGAACAGTTTTTAATACATTATTGGGGAAACAGTGGGTGACGATCCTAACGTGGAATAAAATATGCCTCTTTTAAAATAAGTTTTCTAAAGATCATTGATAACATTGTAAATAAGGTTTATTTTTGTCATTTTATTAAATCTATATTACTTTTTTCTCAATCTCCTGCCTATTCATCTGTGTTCTAATGCTTATTCATCTTTGACATGCTGGTCCAAAACTCTATGAAGTGCCAGTGTGTGTGCATACTTTTGTACAGGTGCTGCACAGTAATGGTGCACTGTACCATACAGACACTTTACCATTCCTGTCCCATGTACAATGATATTTGTCTTCTCATTCATAGTGTTATTTCTTTCATGAAAAAGATCAGGTTGTTCTGTTAAGAGCAGAAACAATGCAGCTTGAGTGGCTCCTTTCTTTCTCTGGTTTGCCATGGGGGAAGTTGGAGGACGAAAATTATACGCAAGTGTGGAACAGTGGCCACGACCTCCCTGAGATGACTGAGGGATTGGAGAGGAAGGTGATCAATTAGGGACTTGATGGATAGCAAATGTACATGACCAGTAAAATGGCACTTGCAAGAGGGAAAGATAAGCCTTGAAATCCATAGCATTAACAATTTGTTCATCAGTATCCTAGTAGGATAGAAACTTGATTTTGTTTGTCATTTTGTTTTCAGAAAAGAAATCTGAAATGTACACATACTACAAGATTCTAGATAGCACATCTAGATAGTCTCATCCATCCATCTTTGCAGACATATTCCTATTTTGATTTTTCCTGCTGGTCTTAAAAGAGTCAGCAAGTACTATACAGGAAAGAAAACATAAGGAAATTTGGGATTTCCTTTACACTTGAAGTGGGGATTGATCTACAGTATATGTTCTATATGCAGTAATACACTATAGTAAATCCAGGGCTTGCAGGATTGAAGCCCTTGACTTTCTGAACAACAGGGATTATGATATCATCCACTTCACAGGCTTCTTTGTTCCTTTTGAGCTGTGCTACAATCCTCACAGTAGATGGGGAAGAAATGGACATTTCTAGTAACAGTATAATGTTGCAAGCTGTCTTCTTGTAGTGGAAAGTATTTGAGAGTGATTTGTCTTGCACAAGCAATTAAGAACCATAAACTTTACAAAAGACCTGATTCTCATCAGCAGATTAGGACCAATCTAGCTGTCTGGCTTTTTGGAGCAAGATATGGAGACTTGCACACCTGCACTTCCAGATTTGCACTATACTTCTGTCTATGAGAAAATTTGATTGATTGTTATTATTCTGAAGTAACACAACTTGAAAATGAATGATTTGCAGTGGAGAAATGGAAAGAAATATTTATATCTTCCATTTTGCCACTACCTTTCTTTGGTAACTTTACCTTCAGCCAGCTGTCTTGCTACATGCAATAGTCAGAAACAATTCTGAGAGGAGTTTGTAACTACGGACCTGTAGAAGATAAGGGACTGCTTAGAGGGGATTGTAGAGAAAAAGCAATGGGATTGAAATTTTAAGAAGCTACTCACCTGCCTTTTGTCTGCTGTGGGTTACCCTTTTGTAAAGCTGCTTTGCCTAGAAGAAGCAGTCACTAATTGTTTTAATTGCATTTTAATGTGTAACATGGAATCCAGTCCTTTCTCAGTCCTTTATAACAATTAACTATCTCTAGTTTACAATACACAGAGGAATTATATCAGAAAGATTTGGATATCCCGGACAACCCAGACAATATAGTTGCTGACCTTGAGCCAGACATCCTGGAGAGTGAAGTCAAGTGGGCCTTAGAAAGCCTGGCTAACAAAAAGGCCAGTGGAGGTGATGACATTCCAGTTGAACTACAGTATTTAAAATCTTAAAAGATGATGCTGTTAAGGTGCTACATTCAATATGCCAGCAAGTTTGGAAAACTCAATAGTGGCCAGAGGATTGGAAAAGATCAGTCTACATCCCAATCCCAAAGAAAGGCAGTGCCAAAGAATGCTCCAACTACCGTACAATTGCACTCATTTCACACGCTAGCAAGGTTATGCTCAAAATCCTACAAGGTAGGTTTCAGCAGTATGTGGACCGAGAACTCCCACAAGTACAAGCTGGATTCCGAGGGGGCAGAGGAACTAGAGACCAAATTGCTAACATGTGCTGGATTATGGAAAAAGCCAGAGAGTTCCAGAAAAATATCTACTTCTGCTT